ACAAACAGAGCATCTGAGGAGAAGAGTCAGAGTCATAGATGAGATCTGTTACGCTCTTACTTCAGCAAGTTGAGAAAAGAGAAATTCCCCTGGCAGACTCTTCCTCTTGGAAGAGTATTGAGGAGAGATCTCTCATTCAGTTGTTACCCTGGTGCCAGCAGGGAGGTGAATATTTCCAGGAACAACTCTATTTGTGGAATGGTACAGGGAGATTGGGATAGAGCAAGGGTGGGCATGTTGTTCATCCTTTGAATTCAAAGATGACCATGATATCACTGGTTAGTTTGGTTTCTGTGGACACATGAATGGCTGATCAGGTCAATTTGTGCTTTGAACCATCTATGGTTACACTGAGCAAGAGGTGCCACTTCGGGTTGTTTATTCAATAGTGGACATGTTGCAGTTGTGAGATATACGCTGCTTGCACTTCTGCTCTGCCTCAGTAGGTCTTTTCTGCTCGTAGATGGTAGCTCCAGTATGGATAAGGCTTCACCAGGTGGAAAGATCATGAGTGAGATCTTCCTAAGACTTTGGGTCAGTGTTGAAATGTTTCAAGGATGACTTGAAGGAGTCCTTGAAGCATTTCTTCTGGCCTCCCTGAGAGCACTATTTCTCCTTTAGCTCACCATAAAAGATCATCTTTGGCAGTTGCTCATCTGACATCCTGGTGACATGGCCTGCCCATCTCATCTGCGATTCCATGAACAGTGTGTGAATGTTTGAAATGCCTGCCATGTAAAAACCTCAGTGTCTGGGACCTTGTCTTGCCATCTTATTCTCATCAGTTTCCTCAGACAGCCCATGAAGTGAAAGCTACATAATGTGGTGTCTGTATACCATCCAGGTTTCACATGCATACATCAGGTTTGGCAACACAATGACTTTGTAGACCTTCAGTTTGTTTGTTCACTGATGCCTCTGCACTCCCACACATTTTCACATAGTCTGCCAAATGCCATGCTTGCTTTAGCAATTCTGGCATTGGTTTCATGATCAGTGTGACCTGCATGTGACAATGTACTGCTGAGATAAGTGGTCTTGTCCACTGTCTGGAGGGTTTGGCCATTCACTGTGGTGGTGAGCTCTGTGTAAAGCTTTTCTGGTGAAGGCTTGTGCATCACTGCTGTCATCTTAGTTTTTGTTGATTGTGCAGGCAAAGTTGTCACAAGCTGAAGAGAAACAGTTCATAATCTGTTGAATGCCAAATCTAAGTCTGACATACAGGGAACAGTCATCAGCAAACAGAAGATCTTGAACAGTCACTTTCTGTAACTACATCTTCACAGGGGTGGGCAAAATATGGCCCACGTGCCAGATGTAGCCTGTCAAGATCCCTCAGCCCTGCCCAGCCCAGGTGCATGAGGCAGCCTGGGCTGTGGTACATCTGGTTGGTCCCATTGCGCCAAGGTACACATCAGGGCTGGGGCAGCACAGTGGCCAGACTCCACTTCACGGTAGACCTAGTGGTGGAAGTTCCTTCCGGTTGCTGCTGTCAGTGTCACCACTGCTGCCGAATCCAGCCCTGCTGCCTAAGCACCCCAGCCTGTCCACTCCACACCCACCGCCAGGGGCTCCAAATGAAGCAGGCAGGCAGGGGTTCCATGGAGATTGGCCAGGGACCTGTGTGGGCAGAGTGTGTGTTGCCAGGCAGATGAGATGGTGCTGCTGGTGGGCAGGGAACAGGACAGGCAAGTGAGGCTGGGGCTGTGATCACAGGTCAGTGACAGCATAGGGTCAGGGCCGGGGACAAAGCTATAATCTGCTGACCGTACATCCCTATGAAGGGCACCAGTGCTGCAGGTGGGGTGTGAAGGGAACAGATTGAGGTTCTGCCCTGGGCCCCAGCCCTGTGCTGTTACTGCCCCATGATCCAAGCCCTGGCCCCTCCCACCTATCCTGGTCCCAGATGCCACTCCCTGACTGCCCATGGCCCCATCCCATCTGCCTGGCCAAGCACGTCCTGCCCATGGAGGTCCTGGGCTAGTCTCCATAGAGACCCTAAGATTCTCAGATAGTGATAGCATATGGCTGGGCCCTGGAGCAGAGTGATTGGGGAGGTTTGGTGAGCTTTGTGGCCGGCCAGCTGGAGGTGCTGACCTGACCCAAGGAAGCAGGGAGCACTGACCCAGCCCATGGCAACTCACCAAAACTCCCTAAGTGGCCCTCCAGCCCAAATAATTGTCCACCCTTGGGATAGAGTAAGTGTGAAAAATATCTTCTGAGGCTTTGAATTCCTATGGGGCTGTCATGTAGTACATGTACAGTAGTTCGAACCCAACCTTTTTCCATTCATACCCCTTGCATCTTTCCAAACAGACCAAGCCACCTCATCTACCCATAAGATGAATATGAGAGGGCTGTGAGGCAGATCATTATGATGGGCAGTTTATGCAGTATATATGAGATATAGTTGTCCAGAACAACCTTTCTGGTGTCATCACTGTCTTCCTTCCCATCATGTCTCTACTCTTTCATTATTTCTGTTATATCAAGTGAAATTTAGGCTGTAAGCCTTTGTGGAAGGGACTTTATATTTTTATCTGTCCTGTTAACATACTAATTTGGCAGTTTATGCAATTACCTATTGTTTGCTTAATCCTAGTTTGTTTTCTTTATCACTGCTATGTTTCTTTCCCATCCAGTGAGGAATCTGTTTTTGATGCACACATTTTCTGCCTTTCACGGAGTCTTAACTGATGGCTGCATTAAAACTTTGTCAATGCCAAGAAAGATAAGGCTTACAAGCTAGATGCCAATATTCTTTCTCTGAGAATTCCTACTAGAAAACCACACCAAATGCTAAAGAGTCCAAATGCCTGGAGGAGGAGGGAGGGCTAGTTTACCATGGTATGGTCTTCTTAAGAACAGAATCAGTCCACCAGACAAGGATAAACTAAGTTCCTCACACGTAATGATGGGTTTGTTGTGAGGTTTTGTTGGGTTTTTTTGTCCCATATTTCTGCTCCCATGAGTTTATCCATGAATCTTCTTTATATACTATGGTACCCTTAATTTGGAACAGATCTCCAGCTATAGTGTCCTTTGACTACAGTGACAGGACATTCCTTTTGGACATGGCAAGGTGCACTTTTCTGGAACAAGTTATTTAGTTATGGCTTCCAGCAATATCTCAATAATTCAGTGGAAGCATGTAAAATCTTATGTTGTAAATCCAGGTGAAAGGCTTTACGTACATGCTTCAGCTGGGCGGAATAATCTCAGGTGTTGTGATGAAACTATCTCTATCTCTCTTTTGAATAACTGAATTCCTCTGTTATCTTTTGGGACACTGGTTCATCTCTTGGCCTTCTGCATAGTTTTGCATTTCATACACAGTGTTATACTACATTAGGGAATGAGTAGGCACATCTGCACAAGACACTAACTGCACAGTACCTGAATAATACTGTGCAGTAGCACATCATGGCACCAACAGTGCTAATATGCTACTGTGCAGTATTATTAGGCTACTGCTCGGTAACATCACCAAAAAGGCATTTGTCAGCACTACTGCTCAGCATCTCTGGTTACTGCACATTTATTTAGTACTTGATTATATAAGTACTAAATAAATGCTCAGTAACCACTGTGCATTAGAGTCTCATGTAGACGCATCCAGTATGTTATTAATAGCTGCCGAGAACAATCTAAATTCTGTCCAGTCTCATGTTTGCAAAGAGGAGCATTCTCATACTTCCTCATGGCAGTTGTGAGGAGCTAGATATAGCTGCAGTCCTTATGTACTTGTTAAGTAATGTTAACACCCTGAGCGACCACGTTTCATAAAAGGCAAAAAGAAGGGTAGGATGGTTCCCACAATGCAGTGGGTGGAAGGAACAGACGGTGTCCCTGCAGAAAAGGATAGGTGGCATAGCAGTTCCTCTCCCATATCCACTGGGATACAGCCGAGGTCCATGCACTTCTCTGGCACCCTGAACACAAGGTTTTCATTGAATGACTACATTTAGACCCTCTGCAGTCTTAATCCAAATCACATAACACTGTTATCAAAATAGTCCTCTCTATCTCTCACAATTGAACAAAGCAATAAACCAGGAATTGAAAAACACCTGCGCATGTGGAACTTCCATCATCTCATAACCCTCCTTTCCTGTCAGGTTACTGCTTTAACCACCTTCAACCACAGTGCTCACCTTTCCCTTTGAAGTACAAAAATATGCCCACACAGCCATCCCTTATCCCCATATGAGCCTACCTGCTGTAGAAAGAGCATGAATAAATAATAGCAATTCCTGTATCCACTTTGGTGTATCCCTCTGACTTTTATCTGTGGCATTACCTTGAATAAAATAAGTTATGTGACTTAACAATGTACAGCAAAAACATGAAACAGTCACCTTATGGAGTAAATTGCTTAGATGAATAAGAAAGACACATATTTGTGAGCTTATAGATTGAGAAAGGAAAAATCCATATTCTTGAAATATAATTTCAAATGTATTTTTGATAACTATAATATATGCCTATGTAATGCGCATGCTATTTCTATATTAATTTGTTTTTCTTTTGAAGCAAAATGAATGCATGTTTTTTCTATGTAAGCCAAAAAAAGCAATAGCCTTCTTTTATACTCTGTAGTTCTTGATCTCAGTAGCAGGGAGTCTCATAAAGCATTTTTGATTCAATGTTAATTTTATAAATTGAATTCCCTTTTCCACAATTCCCATGAAAAAGGCATACAACTAGATGAAGACTCTTGGAAAAATTTAATTGTACCCTTGAAATCTGTTTGAATTCAGGTTCTTGAGGGGAAGAAAAAACTCTGTCTAATGAAAGCTGTGAAAGTACCAGAGGTTGTTATGCCTTTAAGGCAATTTTTATCCTATATATAATGGTGAAGCTCCACCATTATAATATATGAGTGTTTAAAATGCTCTCTTTGCTAAATTGAAACTTCTGCTTAAATGTATAAGTGTTTTTGTTTGTTTCTACATGGCTTTTGAGTAACTTGCAGTAATATCTATCTTTTTTCCTTACAGTCTTTTCCTGGTCCAAGTCTTGAAAGTGAAGATTTCAACATACCTCCCATAACTCCTCCATCATTACCTGACCATTCGTTGGTGCACTTGAATGAAGTAGAGTCTGGGTATCACTCTCTGTGTCACCCAATGAATCATAATGGCCTGCTTCCATTCCACCCACAAAACATGGACCTACCTGAAATTACAGTTTCCAATATGCTCAGCCAAGATGGGACACTGCTTTCAAATTCACTTTCAGTGGTAAGGAATTTTCATTTTTGGTTTTGGTGCTAGTTTAAAACATTCAGATGTCTGATATACTGATACAGAGCTGTCTGTCCCCAGGTCTCAAGTGGGATTAGATTGCTTGGCTTTGCTTTCTCAGCAATATTACTCTGATTATATGAAGTGATATGTTGACCCATTGAAGTCAGTGACAGTTTTGCAGTTGACTCTGTTGGGGCCACGATTTCACCTACTGACCTCAGTAGCATTATGCCATGTTTTCATTGGTGTAAATGAAAATAGAATACAGCCCAATGCATTTTATTTCAGTTTGAACAGATTTTAGCTTCAGATGACTGGGGTTTTTTGGTTTCCTTACAAGGTCTTTTCTTTCTAATGTGCATGTAATGAGAGATGTACAGAAATTTAGCTTTCGCTTTCTTGTTTACTGTACTCCAGGAAAACACCAAATGTCATTTCTGACTGTAGACCAAATCTTTTATCCTTTTTCACAGTTTCCAGTCATTCCCCCGCCAGAAATTCCATTAAAACTATTGAAAATCTGCCTATCATGCCAAACTAGACCCAGATCAACCTTATAGGTATCTCCACATAGGTGTCACAACTTACACAGTTTAGGTGCCTATTCCCAGAAGTATGAGCCAAATTGACCCTTCCTGCTGAAGCTAGGCCACTGGCAGCCAAGGATATAAAATTGACAGGGCCACCAGAAAGAGAGCATGCAAGAGAGACTGTAATCATGATAGTTTAGTGGTTAAGACACATTCCATGACAGATACTCTGGGTACTGACCTCTGCTAAATAGGTTATTTACTATTTTAATCAATGATAATCTAACATAAAATGCATAAACAGTCTGCCAAGAAGATCCAGCACTCAGGACTCCTTCTCATGGAAGCATTCTCATTACTGATTACAGTCACTCTCCCACTTGTTGGTTGACTGTTGATGCATTTTTATGTTAGACAGTAGGCATCTGGATCAGTCCTCAGCTGTTGGATGCAGTTGATTTGGATTGCTTTTTGTGACTAAAATTCTGACTAAATTCTGTTTAGGCAGCTACAGTATTGATTAGGATCTGGCCCAAAGTCGTCATGGTCCTGATCTTAAGATATTTGCCATTTTTATGTCTTTCTGTCTGTCCTGACACAATTGATTACAAGTCCAGAGCCATCTTAAATATTCCAAAAAATATTTTTCAAGAAACTCTTAAGAATAAGTATCATACTTCAAGTATATCACCTGTACAGGTGTGGAGATAATTTTGTTTTGTGGACAGCAAATCCCAAACTTTCAAAAATCCTCTGTGAAAAGTAATGAAGACCTGGCATCAGGGTAGGCTGGCTCAGGGCAACAGCTCTTGGGAGCAGTGAACCTATAAGCTCGTGACTAGTACTCCTGAGATTCCTGCCATCCTGCCTGGTCAAGAGTGGAGACCTGGAAGCTCAGGGAGCAGTCACTGAGACAAGAGCCTCTAAACTTGGAAACTCAATCTACATGGCTTCCAGATTCCCAGCATCTCACCAGATGGCCTCCCTAAAGTTGGGAAGCTCCAAATCCTGCTATACAGCAGCCTGTCAAGCTTAGGAGCTTTGGGACAGAGGCTTCCAACTACTGTCAGCTCATAAACCAAGGAGCTGAGGTGACAAGCTGTCAGGAAACTATGCAGGCTTACAACAGACACCCAACTGGTAGACAGTATTCCATTGTAAATTCATTAAAATCAAACTGTCTTCAACCAGTATTTCCAACTAGGTCAGATCAGCCAACTACTAGAAGCCTGATTCAGAACTCCTATATGCTGTGCAGCTGCTATCCAGTACACTAAGGCAATGGAATAGATTGCTCAGAGAAGTTTAAAATCTCTGTCACTCAGAGCTATCCCTAGGGGTGTGTGGAGGGGGGGGGGGGGGGG